TGGCATCATAAATTATTTTAATGTAGACTTCAGTACTCGTATAGGTAACTTTCACTCCCCTGGCAGGCTTAATCTAAGCGATATCACAAATATGTCTATACCAAGTTACGATTATACTGTGCAAGAGTACTTATCTTACAAATTTTGACAAGTAATGGTGTCTGTTGTTTTGACAAGTCTTGGAAGTCACAAGTTCTTAAAGCAGCTACATTCTAAATCGATTTAGATCAAAATAAACAACTGCAGTGGCTGTGAAAGTCTTAGTAATTTTGAAAACTTTGGTAGTAGATATGATTATCAATGCTATTTTTCAGCGCTTTGCATATTCCTTCATCTGCTTGATAATATTTGCCAATCGAAGGGATAGATGACAAGTTTGTTTACTTATTTTCCATTTATACATACTACTCAGGTGAGATACTACTACTACAAGGTTTTTTACAATATTTATGAGTTTGTTGGTGGTAAAGTTCTTCGTTTGGGAAAAATTCAACAGAAGCAGATGAACAATGCTCGCTTTATGATCTGGAGAAAAATGTGCTATCGCTTTAAAATAAAATTTCCTCTATTTTTTTTAATGTTGTATGATTATGATCAATCAATTAGAAACATGACATATAATAATAACATCTCAAAAAATTAGACCAGAAGCTTGAAATTATTAAGTACTATAGTTGTTGGACAGTAAGTAATAGTATCGCTTGAAAATCAAATTTTGTAATCTGTTTCCTCTGATTCAATAATGAATTTTTCTGTAATCTATGATTAAGATCAGTCTTAGAAACAGGACAGATGTGAGTATCCTTGAAATTAGACATATAATAATAACATCTTTAAAAACAGAATAGAAATTTGAAATCATCAAGTGCTATAGTTTTTTGACAAGTAATGGTGTCTGTTGTTTTGACAAGTCTTGGAAGTGACAAGTCCTTAAAGCAGCTACATTCTAAATCGAAGTACATACATTCTGCATTGAGATCAAAATAAACAACTGCAGTGGCTGTGAAAGTCTTAGTAATTTTGAAAACTTTGGTAGTAGATATGATTATCAATGCTATTTTTCAGCGCTTTGCATATTCCTTCATCTGCTTGATAATATGTGCCACTGTTAGCCAGCTAATAGGTCTGAACTGAGGGTCAAGACTGAACTCTTACTGAACTTCATAGAAGTGACTGACTACTTACGTTTGCAATAGAAACACATAAACTGTAAACACTTCACACAACACTTTCACTATTTGTAGCTGCGATTGCTTGTTCTAAGCTTCTAATTAATCCTTATTAACGGGAGCCTCATTGTTAAGATTTCGATAATGTTTACATTCATACATTGTAGGTTAGAAATAGGAGGTGATGCAATTAGACATACGCTTTATATCAATCGGTTGGAAAAGCGGAGCTTTATGCCATATTGTAAAATTATAACATGAATAGGGGCTTACAATCATATTTTTATAGTATTTATAAACCGATGATGATTTCAATAAATTGATGAACGTCAAAGAATAATTGCAACCTTTGGCGGTAGACATCGCAATCTGTAAAAATAAAAAACTACTAGATTCATCCGATTTTAATGGCTCTAGTCCGGTCCGTTTAGACAATGGAATATAGAAGTTTTGAATCTTTTCGAAAATGTTGATTTTCACGCGCAAAAAAGGACAATTCTATTTGGCGTGATCCTATATTCGATGAAGCGACCAACATAAAGCCGAAAATGGCACGTTTTTGACGTTCCGCTCGCACGCGCTCGCTTTCGTAATACGATCATACCTACATTACCCCGCCTAACAGGAATCCGGGGATCTGGAGGGGAAATTCAAAATTGAAACGTCAAACTAAAAATATCTGCATATCTTTGAATTTTGTAATCTGCCGAGTTTAAAAAATGCGATCGGGTAACGTGTCGTATGTCGGTTTAATCAGGAGACTTTGGTCTTTCGTTTTGCGAAAAAAAATCGTAGCTACGTCGCTCCGTAACGCAGGTCCGTATCGACGAAGACAAAGTACGCCGAAAAACGGTTGTCATCGGTACTTTTGAGGCGCTCAAAGTTTACTTTTTCGAAATTTGACGGTAATTCTGACGGTCAGAATCGTTTCGTCAGCTCATTATCGTTATTTTTCGATAGCTGTATAATTTTTACTCGCTCACGTACGGTAGTAATAAGCGAGGACAGAGCCGGATGACAAGGTGACTTTTTCACGCGTCGAAAAGTAGCGTATTGTCGAGGAATTTTTAAAAATCGAAACTTTTCAACGTAAACGAATAATGATGATGAAAATAGTATTAAAAGAGTGTCCGAAGCATGGGCTTTCTCACGCAAAAATCGTCAGGTTCGTAGCTCCTTTATCTTCGGAGGAGATAGCTGATATACGATGAAGCAGCGCGCTTTATACGCAAAAAAGTCATTCTTGACGACGTTCGAGGTTCGTTTATTCGAAACGGGTACCGTAAACGAAAAAACGTCTCTCCGCATAATTTGTAGCGCTCGCCGAGATGTACGAAACGCGACGCGCGAAATTCCTTTTCTCTTCGGCATAAGGGAGATATCGTAGTTTTCAAGGCGATTCGTCATTTTTGTCGCTTTTTTTTCGAACGTTTCTAGAAAAAAAACCGAGACGCGGAACCGAACAGATTTAGCTTATTGGTACGTATTTTTCGTTTAGCTATCGAACGAGACCGATCTCGAGTCGATATTTCGATAAACGGCGAAACCAGTGTGAAATAACGCCGCGTACCGTCCGGAAAACGGTCGATTTTTCGACTTTACCGGCCGTTTTCGATCCGATCCGTTCCTCTCGCCGCGACGGCTCTCGCCCGCCCGTAAAGCGCCGAGTTTCTACTTTCCGAAACGGTACCTCTTTCCCTCCGAACGTTTCGCGAACCTCCTAAAAAACCGGAAAACCGCGTCGACGTCGCCCGCCCAAAATTTCTAACGTCACGTGACCTCTTCCTTAAAACAATCGATCACCGCTTAATATAGTCGACTAGCGCAGTTTCTGGCATGCTAACGCTATGCCAAATATTGTACGTTGATGTCTTTATTTAAAACCTCACGTAGCGCAGTTGCTGGTATGCTAATGCAATGCTAGCGATAACTATCTCTAATCATTTTTTATCCTTTGGCATCTTTGATCTGGTATCTGGTATCAGGTATCTGGTATCTGGTATCTGGTATCTGGTATCCGGTATCCGGTGTCTGGTATCTGGTATCTGGTATCAGGTATCTGGTGTCTGGTATCTGGTATCTGGTATCCGGTATCCGGTGTCTGGTATCTGGTATCTGGTATCTGGTGTTTGGTATCTGATGTCTGGTATCTGGTATCCGGTATCTGGTGTCTGGCATCTGGTATCTGGTGTCTGGTGTCTGGTATCTGATGTCTGGTATCTGGTGTCTGGTATCTGGAATCTGGTATCTGGTATCCGGTATCTGATGTCTGGTATCTGGTGTCTTTATCTGGTATCTGGTATCTGGTGTCTGGTATCTGGTGTCTGGTGTCTAGTATCTGGTGTCTGGTGTCTGGTATCTAATATCTGGTATCTGGTATCTGGTATCTGGTGTCTGGTATCTGGTATTTGGTACCTGGTATCTGATATCTAATCTCTGGTGTTTGGTGTCTGATGTCTGGATCTGATATCTGGTGTCTGGTATCTGGTATCTGGTATTTGGTATCTGGTGTCTGGTGTTTGGTGTCTGGTATCTGGTATCTGGTGTCTGGTATCAGGTATCTGGTATGTGGTATTTGGTATCTGGTATTTGGTATCTGGTATTTGGTATCTGGTATCTGATATCTAATATCTGGTATTTGGTGTCTGATGTCTGGATCTGATATCTGGTGTCTGGTGTCTGGTATCTGGTATCTGGTATTTGGTATCTGGTGTCTGGTGTCTGGTGTCTGGTATCAGGTATCTGGTATCTGGTATCTGGTATCTGGTATTTGGTATCTGGTATCTGATATCTGGTGTCTGGTATCTAGTGTCTGGTGTCTGGTATCAGGTATCTGGTATCTGGTATTTGGTATCTGGTATTTGGTATCTGGTATCTGATATCTAATATCTAGTGTTTGGTGTCTGATGTCTGGATCTGATATCTGGTGTCTGGTATCTGGTATCTGGTATCTGGTATTTTGTATCTGGTATCTGGTGTCAGGTATCTGGTATCTGGTATTTGGTATCTGGTATTTGGTATCTGGTATCTGATATCTAATATCTGGTGTTTGGTGTCTGATGTCTGGATCTGATATCTGGTGTGTGGTGTCTGGTATCTGGTATCTGGTATTTGGTATCTGGTATCTGGTATCTGGTGTCTGGTATCAGGTATCTGGTATCTGGTATTTGGTATCTGGTATTTGGTATCTGGTATCTGATATCTAATATCTGGTGTTTGGTGTCTGATGTCTGGATCTGATATCTGGTGTCTGGTATCTGGTATTTGGTATCTGGTGTCTGGTGTCTGGTGTCTGGTATCTGGTGTCTGGTATCAGGTGTCTGGTATCTAGTATTTGGTATCTGGTATCTGATATCTGGTATCTGATATCTGGTGTCTGGTATCTAGTGTCTGGTATCTGGTATCTGGTATTTGGTATCTGGTATCTGGTATTTGGTATCTGGTGTCTGGAATCTGATATCTGGTGTCTGGTGTCTGGTATCTGATATCTGATATCTGGTATCTGGTGTCTGGTGCCTGATGTCTCGTGTCTGGTGTCTGGTATCTGGTATCTGATATCTGGTATTTGGTATTTGGTATCTGGTGTCTAGTGTCTGGTATCTGGTATCCGGTATCTGGTATCAGGTATCTGGTATCTGGCATCTGGTATCTGGTAACTGGTACTTGGTATTTGGTATCTGATATCTGGTGTCTGGTATCTGGTATCTGGTGTCTAGTATCTAGTATTTGGTATCTGGTATCTTATGTCTGGTATCTGGTGTCTTGTGTCTGGTATCTGGTATCTGGTGTCTGGTGTCTGGTATCTGGTATCTGGTATTTGGTATTTGGTATCTAGTATCTGGTATCTAGTGTCTGGTGTCTAGTATCTGGTGTCCGGTATCTGTGTCTGGGTCTGGTATCTGGTATCTGGTATGTGGTGTCTGGTGTCTGGTATCTGGTATCTGGTGTCTGGCATCTGGTATCTGGTGTCTGGTATCTGATGTCTGGTATCAGATATCTGGTATCTGGTATCTGGTATATGGTATCTGGTGTCTGGCATCTGGTATCTGGTGTCTGGTATCTGGTATCTGGTGTCTGGTATCTGGTATCTGGTATCTCGTATCTGGTATCTGGTATCTGGTTTCTGGAGTCTGGTATCTGGTGCCTGGTGTCTGGTATCTGATGTCTGGTGTCTGGTATCTGGTGTCTGGTGTCTGGTATCAGGTACCTGGTGTCTGGTATCTGGTGTCTGGTATCTGGTATCTGGTATCTGGTGTCTGGAATCTGGTATCTGGTATATGGTATCTGGTATTTGGTATCTGTTATCTCTTTATCTGGTATCTGGTTTCTGGTGTCTGGTATCTGGTATCTGGTGTCTGGTATCTGGTGTCTGGTATCTGGTGTCTGGTATCTGGTGTCTGGTATCTGGTATTTGGTATCTGTTATCTCTTTATCTGGTATCTGGTTTCTGGTGTCTGGTATCTGGTATCTGGTATCTCGTATCTGGTATCTGGTATCAGGTATCTGATGTTTGGTATCTGGTATCTGGTGTCTGGTATCTGGTGGCTGGTATCTGGTATCTCGTATCTGGTGTTTGGTATCTGGTATCTGGTGTCTGGTGTCTGGTATCTGGTATCTGGTATCTGGTATCTCGTATCTGGTATCTGGTTTCTGGTGTCTGGTATCTGATGTCTGGTATCTGGTGTCTGGTGTCTGGTATCTGGTATCTGGTGTCTGGTATCTGGTGTCTGGTGTCGTATCTGGTATCTGGTGTCTGGTGTCTGGTATCTGGTGTCTGGTGTCTGGTATCTGATGTCTGGTATCTGTTATCTTTTATAAGTTATCAGTTTTCATTTTTCATTTTTCTATTTTAATTTTTAATTTTTCATTTTTAATTTTTCTATTTTAATTTTTAATTTTTCATTTTTAATTTTTAATTTTTAATTTTTAATTTTTAATTTTTCATTTTAATTTTTAATTTTTAATTTTTAATTTTTCGATTTTTCGATTTTTCGATTTTCGATTTTCGATTTTTCGATTTTTCGATTTTTCGATTTTTCGATTTTTCGATTTTCGATTTTTCGATTTTTCGATTTTTCGATTTTTCGATTTTTCGATTTTTCGATTTTTCGATTTTTCGATTTTTCGATTTTTCGATTTTTCGATTTTTCGATTTTCGATTTTCGATTTTCGATTTTTCGATTTGATTTTTTGATTTTGATTTTAATTTTCAATTTTCAATTTTTCATTTTTCATTCTTCAGATTTCAGTTTTCATTTTTTAGTTTTCAGTTATCAGTTATTTGTTATCTGTTTTCTTTTATCTGTTACTTTTTATCTGTTATCTGTCATCTTTTATCTGTTATAAGTTATCTGTTATCTGTTATATGTTACCACCTGTTACCTGTTACCACCTTTTACCTGTTATCTGTTATTTTCCATATAGCATTGAAAATATCCTGTATACAATTGTATAACAGACTCAGATTTATGTGAGATGCCGGCAACGTCGCATGTGTTGTTGTTAATACCATACATGGCGTTATAAAATCTTCCATGTAGCAAATTGTATAGCAGACTTAGATTTATATGAGGATCGTCGCATAAATCTAGCTATAACACGACTTGCAAAAAAATGGCGCTTGACACTGACATATGTCAACCGTGTTCGTCTACGGATAGCAGTGGACTATGCTTTCTTCAGTGTATATGTTTTCTGTTTTGTAATGTCAATGTCATTGTCATAGGTAATTTTTTCTAACCTGGAAAATGAAATGTATTTTGTTTAAAATTAAAATTCAATAACTCCTATTGTGAGATGTGTGCATCTACAACACAATGAGAGGAAAAATTAAGATTCTGAAAGTTAATTCCTAAATATCATAGTAAGGAAATCCGTAAAACTAAAAAAAAAGTAAACATAAACACCTTGAGAAAACTTCTTCCGTATCAAGTGGTTAAAGTGGAGTTTTAAAACAATTTTTGTTGAAAATAAGGCCGTTAGTTTACAAGCAGGTATGTAACTGAGCGATCCGCTAATGTGTGTGTATCTTGCTTATAAAAAATGCTGTATTTAGATATTGCTATTCACAAGAGCTACCGTTCTTTGATAGGATATTTTCAAATTGAACTTTTGTCTTATTTTTACTATTTATTGCAGGAGAACAGTTGTTGAACCAGGTCCTGGTGCATACTTATGTAGTTGTCACTTTGTGGATGGGAAAAAAGAAAATAGACCTACATTGTTTAGGTATAATAGGGAGAAGCAATTGAACTTTCCATCGCCAGAAAGAAGAACCCGTAAAAATAACAACAATGTGAAAATTGAACTCTATAATATGTTACTTCAAATTGGGCCCTTTTAAGGGATGTATGTAATAATTATGTGATCTGCAGAAATAGAAATATAAAAAATAAATACAACACATGGCATCATAAATTATTTTAATGTAGACTTCAGTACTCGTATAGGTAACTTTCACTCCCCTGGCAGGCTTAATCTAAGCGATATCACAAATATGTCTATACCAAGTTACGATTATACTGTGCAAGAGTACTTATCTTACAAATTTTGACAAGTAATGGTGTCTGTTGTTTTGACAAGTCTTGGAAGTCACAAGTTCTTAAAGCAGCTACATTCTAAATCGATTTAGATCAAAATAAACAACTGCAGTGGCTGTGAAAGTCTTAGTAATTTTGAAAACTTTGGTAGTAGATATGATTATCAATGCTATTTTTCAGCGCTTTGCATATTCCTTCATCTGCTTGATAATATTTGCCAATCGAAGGGATAGATGACAAGTTTGTTTACTTATTTTCCATTTATACATACTACTCAGGTGAGATACTACTACTACAAGGTTTTTACAATATTTATGAGTTTGTTGGTGGTAAAGTTCTTCGTTTGGGAAAAATTCAACAGAAGCAGATGAACAATGCTCGCTTTATGATCTGGAGAAAAATGTGCTATCGCTTTAAAATAAAATTTCCTCTATTTTTTTTAATGTTGTATGATTATGATCAATCAATTAGAAACATGACATATAATAATAACATCTCAAAAAATTAGACCAGAAGCTTGAAATTATTAAGTACTATAGTTGTTGGACAGTAAGTAATAGTATCGCTTGAAAATCAAATTTTGTAATCTGTTTCCTCTGATTCAATAATGAATTTTTCTGTAATCTATGATTAAGATCAGTCTTAGAAACAGGACAGATGTGAGTATCCTTGAAATTAGACATATAATAATAACATCTTTAAAAACAGAATAGAAATTTGAAATCATCAAGTGCTATAGTTTTTTGACAAGTAATGGTGTCTGTTGTTTTGACAAGTCTTGGAAGTGACAAGTCCTTAAAGCAGCTACATTCTAAATCGAAGTACATACATTCTGCATTGAGATCAAAATAAACAACTGCAGTGGCTGTGAAAGTCTTAGTAATTTTGAAAACTTTGGTAGTAGATATGATTATCAATGCTATTTTTCAGCGCTTTGCATATTCCTTCATCTGCTTGATAATATGTGCCACTGTTAGCCAGCTAATAGGTCTGAACTGAGGGTCAAGACTGAACTCTTACTGAACTTCATAGAAGTGACTGACTACTTACGTTTGCAATAGAAACACATAAACTGTAAACACTTCACACAACACTTTCACTATTTGTAGCTGCGATTGCTTGTTCTAAGCTTCTAATTAATCCTTATTAACGGGAGCCTCATTGTTAAGATTTCGATAATGTTTACATTCATACATTGTAGGTTAGAAATAGGAGGTGATGCAATTAGACATACGCTTTATATCAATCGGTTGGAAAAGCGGAGCTTTATGCCATATTGTAAAATTATAACATGAATAGGGGCTTACAATCATATTTTTATAGTATTTATAAACCGATGATGATTTCAATAAATTGATGAACGTCAAAGAATAATTGCAACCTTTGGCGGTAGACATCGCAATCTGTAAAAATAAAAAACTACTAGATTCATCCGATTTTAATGGCTCTAGTCCGGTCCGTTTAGACAATGGAATATAGAAGTTTTGAATCTTTTCGAAAATGTTGATTTTCACGCGCAAAAAAGGACAATTCTATTTGGCGTGATCCTATATTCGATGAAGCGACCAACATAAAGCCGAAAATGGCACGTTTTTGACGTTCCGCTCGCACGCGCTCGCTTTCGTAATACGATCATACCTACATTACCCCGCCTAACAGGAATCCGGGGATCTGGAGGGGAAATTCAAAATTGAAACGTCAAACTAAAAATATCTGCATATCTTTGAATTTTGTAATCTGCCGAGTTTAAAAAATGCGATCGGGTAACGTGTCGTATGTCGGTTTAATCAGGAGACTTTGGTCTTTCGTTTTGCGAAAAAAAATCGTAGCTACGTCGCTCCGTAACGCAGGTCCGTATCGACGAAGACAAAGTACGCCGAAAAACGGTTGTCATCGGTACTTTTGAGGCGCTCAAAGTTTACTTTTTCGAAATTTGACGGTAATTCTGACGGTCAGAATCGTTTCGTCAGCTCATTATCGTTATTTTTCGATAGCTGTATAATTTTTACTCGCTCACGTACGGTAGTAATAAGCGAGGACAGAGCCGGATGACAAGGTGACTTTTTCACGCGTCGAAAAGTAGCGTATTGTCGAGGAATTTTTAAAAAATCGAAACTTTTCAACGTAAACGAATAATGATGATGAAAATAGTATTAAAAGAGTGTCCGAAGCATGGGCTTTCTCACGCAAAAATCGTCAGGTTCGTAGCTCCTTTATCTTCGGAGGAGATAGCTGATATACGATGAAGCAGCGCGCTTTATACGCAAAAAAGTCATTCTTGACGACGTTCGAGGTTCGTTTATTCGAAACGGGTACCGTAAACGAAAAAACGTCTCTCCGCATAATTTGTAGCGCTCGCCGAGATGTACGAAACGCGACGCGCGAAATTCCTTTTCTCTTCGGCATAAGGGAGATATCGTAGTTTTCAAGGCGATTCGTCATTTTTGTCGCTTTTTTTTCGAACGTTTCTAGAAAAAAAACCGAGACGCGGAACCGAACAGATTTAGCTTATTGGTACGTATTTTTCGTTTAGCTATCGAACGAGACCGATCTCGAGTCGATATTTCGATAAACGGCGAAACCAGTGTGAAATAACGCCGCGTACCGTCCGGAAAACGGTCGATTTTTCGACTTTACCGGCCGTTTTCGATCCGATCCGTTCCTCTCGCCGCGACGGCTCTCGCCCGCCCGTAAAGCGCCGAGTTTCTACTTTCCGAAACGGTACCTCTTTCCCTCCGAACGTTTCGCGAACCTCCTAAAAAACCGGAAAACCGCGTCGACGTCGCCCGCCCAAAATTTCTAACGTCACGTGACCTCTTCCTTAAAACAATCGATCACCGCTTAATATAGTCGATTTTTATGTTATAAATAGGTTACAAATTCGTAATCCCCCATCTAAAACCACATATGCTTGAAAAACTGTTTTACTGGCGACGACGTTTCGGCCACAACAATGGACTTTTTTCAAGTACAATTGATTGAATTAGTCAGAACTGTCAATAGTACTTAAAAAAAGGCCACCGCTGTGGCCAAAACTTCGTCGTCAGTTAACAGCATTGCAAGCATATGTGGTTTCATTATGCGACCAGACAAACACGGAGAGGTTTCAGCATGAGAACCACAGCATGAGTTCCAGGTGTTAAATTCCACATTCGTTTTTACGAATATATAGGGTGATTTATCTAAGCACGCCAAATTTTTAATATCATATATCTTAGGCGTTTTTGAACCCATTTTTATGAAATTTTGCACAGTAACAAAGT